ATATATATATCTCTTTCAACATTTTAAACCAAATTTTGTTTCCTATGGTATGACCCTAGGGGCAGGCATAACTCGACAAATAAAAGAGATTTTGAATCAATAAGTCATTAGCAAGACCACTGAGTGAAAACATAATATGCATTTTCACTTTTTAAAGGCTGACAGCTTCTGTAACTACTGGTGATAAGACTTAAATCAGTTCCCAGGCCTTGCTTGAATGCCACACTGCTGGGTCCTCCTCTTTGCAGCTAGAATACTGAGGCAACCAGGAACCAATGTTTTCAGACTCCAGCAGCAGTACCTGTGAGATAATTGAGGTCCTTGGGCAGTTCATTTGTAGCTTGCAGAGCAGGGGTTCAGGATCACATGGATTCAGAGAGAGGCTGTGTAACTTGGGAACCTACTTAGCCTCTCTGAGCCTCAGTTTCTCCATCTGTGAAAAAGGAAGGACGCTGGTACCACATATCCTGATATTCTAAAAGTTGTAGAGCTGTTTTGTATAATAAGTGATTGAGATATTTATAGTCTCTGGTACTTACCATGAACTCAATAAATCTTAACCTCAAACTCCTTCCTCATCTCACACTAGATTTCCTGACCCACCCAAAAAGGTACTAGTTAGATTTCCTCTCTACTGCTAGTTGCTTCCACAGAAATCCTCCGAGATAAGTGTGCAAAGTGGGAGCCAGTATAACCCAGTGTTTCACATAGTGTCTGCTGCATGGCAGATGTCCTATAGATATGGTATGGTATCCTTTACCAGTACTGATCCAATCCTAGTTAGACCCAGTACACACACACACACACACACACACACAACCTCTACAGCAGAGGGAATTGACATCTACCACCTGTGTTTCCCAGGTAGCTGGATCTTGTCTGGGTTTGGCTGATGACGTGCACCAGTGGGCCAGTGCTGAGAAGGAGCAAGGCTATCTCCCCCTCTCCTCCAGTCAGTTACCTCTTTTAGCAGCAGGAAAGCTCTTCCTTATCTCCAGCTCCCTCCAGAGAAGCCCAAGTGACCCCAGTTCCAGCTGTTGACTCCAGCTGCCAGGTCCTGGGAACCCCTCCTCCTCCCTCTGTCCCGGAAGTCCTGGGGGAAGCAATGTCTTCTTGTAGCTTATTTTTAAGTTGTGTCGTTCTCTCATCTGGCTTTGCAACTCTCCCATCACCCAGGCCACGTCTCTCTAAGTAATTCCCTATGCTGTATACACTCGTGATGGTTTTTGACATCCCATTTAGACACCTTCAGAAGGCATCTAAACTCTGAGTTAAGAGGACTTCATTCTTAACTTTATTCTTCATTCTTAACATTCGGTCATTCCTCATGATTCAGTGTTTCCTTATTTGTAACAAAACTAACCAAACCCTAACATTATAAGGATCCAGTATACATCCATCAACACTTACTGAGTACCTGCCACACGCTAGGGCCTTTTGGAGGTGCAGGGTATGAAACAGGGAACAAGACTGATAATGTTCCTGTCCTCAAGAGTTTCAATTAGTAGCCATAGATGTTCTTTATAAGCCGCAGAGTGCTATGTACATTTAACAGGATAAACTGGCTTGATCTCCTTCACCCCTGGGAACCTGTGGAGATGCCCAGAGCTCTCCAGCCTACTTGCTGCAAATTCTACACCTTCTCTGGAGTAAGATGGACTGGCTGGTGGGTGCAGTGATTGTACAGCATTTGCACAATGATCTGGGTAGCAATCCAAGGGCCTCCTCCCCACCAGATCCAATTAGGCTTTTCCGTTTGCATGTGTCGGTCAGTGTGTCGGAGCACACTTTAATTAATTGCAGAGGATTATCCTGATTCTTCTGTTGAGTGCATCAGAATGGTTTTCATTTGGTGTTTTTAGAAGTAAACATGCTATTGACCAAAGCCTGTACGTCTTGCTTATGCCTGGTTGTGTTTGAAAAGGTATCCTCGGTAACACAATTTTTAGTTATTGATAACCTCTTTTATAACAATTTAGTCAGCCTCACTTTAAAGATAGTATTGATAACAATATGTGGCTGACAGTCTGTTTGTAAAAATACTCCAAAAGATGAAAGAAAAGCAATATGTGCAGATGTGGAAAACAGACAAGCTTGCTGTTTTTAAGCAAGCATGAAAATGGAGCATATTAATTCAGTTTCAATACTCTCTTGTCTTGAGTATATTTATGTGATTTCTCTTGTATTGTCCTATGCAGCAGATATTTCCACCTTTGTGTTGCTAATTAAATCACTAAGACTTATGATCAGGTGACTCAGTTAAATAATAATCACATCAGCACGAAAAAGGAAAGTGCAGGGAAAGAGGAGGAAGTACTTTCCGGTCCCTTTTCAGGCCAGTAACCTCCCTGAGCTTCAGCTTCCTCATCTGTAAATAGGAGCCATAACTGAGGGCAGTGCTGAGGGTTAAATGGGAGTGTGGCATGGAACCTGGAACGCAGTAGACTCTCTAAAGGGGGAGATTGCTGACTTCTTCCCGAAGTCCTCTTATCCCCCATCCCTTGCTTTCTGCTCTCTCCGCAGATGACCACTCCCGGGTGAGGCTGCTGGTGCTGGAAGGAGACCCACACTCGGACTATATCAATGCCAACTACATTGATGTGAGTATCTTGATGAGGCTGGGCAGCTAAGATCTGGGCTGGCTGTGCGGGCTCAGGGTCTGTGGCTGTCCCCAACTTCACCAGAAGGTGACCCTTACAGAACATGTTCAGATCAACCTAACTCCCTCCTGATTTGCCTGACCCAAGTTGATCATCTACCTAAGGCTGCATCCTCTTTCAGCCAGGTTGCAGTAGCTGCTTTTGGAATTCCTGGACGATGTCTGGTCTTATATGTTCACTTCATCTGTTAATTTGTATGTAAGTCTATGCATTCATTCATTCATTTGAAGGTGTAGCCATTAACGCAACAAAATTTTAAAAATGCAGACTGTATTTTAGATGTTTTGGGAAACTGCCATAGCTTCTACCCTCTAAGACCTCAGATTGGAGATAAGCTGTGCACATCAATAATTCCAGGGCAAGCTAGAAAGTGGTTAAGTGTCACAGGTTCAGATAAAATTCTTCAGGGATTCAGAGGTAGAAAAAAAAAAAAACATTGCTTCTTCCATTCTTCTATCAGGAATGCCAAATGTGATGTGAGGCAAAGCTTCACGCACAGGTAGAATTTGAAATCAAAGAGAGGGAGGGAAGATGGGGCTCTGGTTAGACAGAGCAGCATAAACCAAGATGGAGCAGCTGGAAAAGAAATAAGCAGCAACTTGGTATGAAGGGAGTGGAGAATGTATGATGGGAACAATGGAAAGTATTCTTGTTGGTGGCTTAGATGGCCAAATTTAGGAGATCAGAAAGTTTTTCATCAAAGAATCAAGGAGGTGGTTGGTTCAGAACTGAGTTTGCAGATGATTTACCTTCTGTCAAGGACAAGAAAGGTCAGAGAAAGGGGATTCTGGAATTTAGACAACCAACTAGGAAAGAGGTTGCTTCAGTATCCCAGAGGTTACCTTGGAAGGTGCTGAACTCAACCAGGAGCCAAGGAGGATGTGCTTGGAAGTGAGAAAGTTTGCAAAGCTTGAACATGACTACTGTGGTTGGATGGACATCCCACCATAATTGACTCATGCCAGACTTCTCTGGACCTCAGATCAGAGCCCAAGGGTCTTGAAGAGTGGCTTGGAGATCACATGGGTTCCTTAGACTTCAGATGTATTTATTCACAAGCTGTAAAACACAGTGGTAGGCTTTGAAAATTCCCTCACAATCTAGGCTGGGATAAATTATTCATTAACTTAACAAATATCTATTGAGCTTTGCAAAGGTCTTTGTTTCCTCAGATCTATTTCTTGTCATTCTCTGGTCCACTTTGCATTGCAGGTAGGAGTATTTGTGTACACATGTGTCGTGTGTGGGAAGATGGGGATCTGACTCCTTCAATGAGAGTCAAAGATGCATCAGAGGACAATAGAAGGAGAGAAGCCAGCATATTCCCTTCCCCTCTCCCTTCCTTGGGTAGTAGCTTCCATTTGGCTGTGCTCCATCAGCAGCTCTAGGCTCTCTGTGGTCCCATCTCTGTTTTCCCTTGGCCCGCAGTTCCAAATCCTGGGCCCTAATAATCTTTCTGTCTCCCATTGTCCCACCAGCACTGAGGGCAGTCTCGGCCTCCTGCTGTTGCCAATCTTGAGGTTGCCCTAAGCTTTCATTTCACATCTTGCCTCATCCATTATCCATATAACCAAGTCTTCATACTAAATCCCTCTGCCTGAAAAACCTGAAGGGCTTTGTATTTGTCTGCTGGACCTTGGCTAATGAAGAACCTACTATGTGGTCAAGAGGATGGGGTGGATCTTCACTGGAGATAAAGAGGGACAGGCTCTGCCTTCATGGCCTTTCTAGGACAGTTCACAAGGAGATAGTCAGTTTTGAGTAGAATATCTACAGCCAGACCAGTGCTTTAAACATTCATTTTTATGTCATCAGACTTTCCCTCATGAATCTATTACTTACTTCACAAACACCAAGCAGACCCTCTATAGTGTACTAGATACTGACTTTTCAGGCCAAGTTCTCTGACCTAAAGAGCTCTCAAGCTGGTAGGAAAATAGAGCCTCAGGGAGCAGAAGTATGTGTGTGGGGTGGCCAGTGAAGGTCATCTGGAGGAGGTGACGTGCAGTCCTGCCGTGGACAAAGAGCCACCAGGATGAAGGACTCAGAGCAATCTAGGAGTTGTTGATCATCTCTCATGTACTAACATAACCTTAACTAGTTCCTCAACCTCACTAGGTAAGGGCCATTTCTATTTCCAGAGAGTAAACTGAGGCTTTTAAGGTTAGGTGACGTGTCCAGGATCATCCTTCAAGGATGAGATGGTGAGAGGGCAAGAATTTGAGCTAGGAATATCCCCAACCATATCCCACTACATCTCATAATAACACTAAGTAGTGACAAGAGCAGTGGTTCCTAATGAGTCACTCCAGGGCCCTAAAATGAATGTTTTAAATAAGTTCAAGACTTCACGATAACCCTTCAGTATGGGTCCCAGCACTCCCATTTTCCAACTGGGGTTGAGAGAGATTGCAGAGCAGTGCAAGGCCATGCAGCTGTTCAGACCAGGATTAAGAATCATACCTGAATGATTCCCCATCCAGTGCTTTATCTCTCTCCTCTGCCCCACTCCCTGACACCACCTTGTAATGTTCAGCGCATGTTCATCCAGGTTGAAGTGGTTCCTTCCTTTTCTCCTTACCTTGTCCATGGCTGGATGGATTTGGCAGTCCTGGAGGCCCCTCCCTATACAGAATCTCCCATGCCTGAGTTGCTATTATCTTTCTGGCTTTTATCATATGACAGTTGAGTGAGTATCTGGGTGTGGTCAGAACCAGAAAATGCTGGTGTTGTACAGGTTAAGAGCGTTACCTAAGGTCACACAGCTAGACAACAATTCTCTGCCTGGCTAGAGCACCCCACAACCCTCTCCCTCTTTTGGCAGAAAGTGTGGTGTTCAGACAGGCCAAGGAGCCTCTGCCATGTGCTATCTTAAAATGCAATGTCGGACCCTGGGTGGGGTGAATCTCAGTGTCCCTTAGAGTCAATCAAGCACCAACAAGACTAAAGTCAATTATGAGTTCAATGCTTGTTTTGTCTGCTGAATCCAGGCCTTTCTGATCACTAGCTTTGTGATTATGGCTAAATTATTACCCACTTATTTTGATATCTATAAAATGGAATAATAGTATTGATAACTGATATACAATGTCCATCAGGTCACAAAAGGAAACAGGCTCATTCAAAGTGGGTAACCAAGGAAGGTTTGATAAGGATGTGAACTGGACTGAATGAAACCAGTAGGGCCGGCTGTTGTGCCTAGGGATTAGCAATAGCAGAGAGCTAGCTCTAAATACTTCTAGGCCCGGACAAGGGGTGAGAGTCTGTGTAACGGGAGTGCTGTCTGACAGGACATGTAGCCCATCATAGAGAGGCAAGGGGAACCCAGGCTGACCTGGCATGGAGGGACCTAGCAGGACATTTGCCTCAACCTCCTGCTGGCCTCTGTACCTCTGCTCCCATTCCTGGTTGTCCAAATGCACCTCAAAACAGTAGAAAATGGGAGCCCCTGGTGCAGTCCATAGAGTAGTGCAGTTCATACAGTCAGCCTCTCATAGCACACAGCAGAATTTGGAAGAGAAGTTAGGGAATTTAGACACAGACCACCAGTGCCTCCTTGCACAGGGTTACTGCTATGGGTCGAAATGTGGAGGCTTACATTAATTGTGAACCTGCTGTATATTCCAGCAAAGTTAAATTCTTGAGATCTCCATTGAGATTCTTGGACACACACGCTTGCGCGCTCTCTCGCGCGCTCTCTCTCTCTCTCTCTCTCTCTCTCTCTCTCTCTCTCTCTCTCCTCTCTCTCCTCTCTCTCTCTCCACTGGTGCCCACTCCTTCAATCTGGTCTCCACCTCAGCAAGAATCCCTCCTAGCTCTCCAAGGAGCTAACTGCTCATGCTAGAATCATTTTCCACAAGTAGATCTTGGTGATTCATTAAAATGTCTCCATTTAAATCATGAGCTGGATGGGGCCAACCCTGTCTAGGCCTCCGGAAGCTGTGCTCTGAACTATCCTGCTGGCAGGTTTGTTTGCACACCCAAAAATGTATTGGCCACTTGAATGTTATAAATTGCCAGGCTAGAAATAAATATGGTATCTGGATCCACAGAAAGTAACAGATGCAGGAATGCAGAGTGAGATGAATGCGTTTTGGATACAAACCTCTTTCCCATTGCTCACAAACAGATGGAGGCAGGCCCAGTGCTGGTTTGCAGTTGATCTGCATGCTGTGTAGGTGGGACTTAAATGAACTCAAAGTTCTTTTAAGGTTAGGAAGTTTTCTGTACTAGCTTTTAGCAACCCCCCCCGGAGAAGCCCAATTGAGCAGTACATTTCTTTTTATCTCCACTGCTAAGGAGTCTCATGGTTTAAATGTTTTCTCTGTGGGGACTGCGTGGGTTTTTGGAGGCCAGGGAGGGTCTCTTTACTCCGATGTGGGGATGGGCACACAGCATGCACGCAATCAATATGTTTTTGTCAAAGCCGATGCCCCAAGCCAACTTCTTCTACTGGGGACACAGCTATGAGCAAGCTGGGAACAGTACTGCTCTGGTGTGGCTCCCATTCAGCTGGAAAAGACAGACGACAAGCATGTAAATAAAGAATAGCACACTGTCTGGTGATGAGTGCTCTGAAGAAAAGTGAGCCAGTGAAAGTGGAAAGAAGCAGACAGCATGACCATGGAAGGGCTGTCTGGGGCCCTTCCCATGTGACTTCCTGGTGACTGACAATGGAACAGAAAGCTGGAGGAAGTGAGCAAGCAAACCACTCCATTATCGGGGACAGGCATGGCAGGCATGGATAACGGCCAATGCTCATGCCTCTGGACAGAAACATGATCACTGATCTTGATGAAGAGCAATAAGTCAGTGAGCAAAGGGGACAATGGTAGGAAGATGAATCATACACTGAGGGATGAAATGGGGATTACAGGGTTATTGAGAGGCCCAAGGAGGGCTTAGTTAAGAAGCCAGTCAAGCCACCACCTCCTTAGAAAATACTCCTCTGGCCTCTATAGCTAAGTCAGTCCCCACATGTGTTCCACAGAGCCCACATCTTCCCCTTGGCAGATCTTATCCCAGTTTATTGATGTCTACAAACTGCTCCAAAGAAGATGTCTGATGCCCTGTTGTATTTCTAGTGTCTTGTATGTAGTAATAGGTGCTTCATTAATATCTGTTGATTGAATGTTGAATGACTGAGCAAATAAGCGAAAAGCACAAAATTGTGAACCTAAGCCATCTAACCGCACAATCAAAATACAAATATTTTGCTCAGAATTTCATCCTGCTGACTTTCAGGCCATCTGAATCTTTCAAATAAATTTCTCCATGGTCTTTGGTCTTCTAGCTCATGCACTAATAATCCCAACCTCACCCCAAAAACATGTACATGTGTGTATTTCACCAACCCACCTTTGCTAAAAGCTGTACCCAGCTCTGGGTGGCATGGCCCATAGCCCAAGTAGAGAAAGTACAAAAAGGCTCTTTGCAGCAGATGTCACTGTGTTCATTGAGCAACATGCATCACCTTACTAAGGAGTTACCTCTGCATCACAAAGGAGGTTTCAATGAATAACAAGGTAGTGAGGCTGGTACACAAGGTGCATAGGGTTATGGGAAGGGACAAAGGGAAGTGAGGCTGGAGATGAGGTTGGAGATGTTTAGCTTCCGGCTGAGGTATGTGGGCTTTACCATGAAGCAATGCGGAGCCATTGCAGGAAAAATAACACATTCAGATATGAAGTATGAAGTTCACTGGGGCAGGAGCCAGATGGGCTGTATGACTGTATAGACGAGGCAGAAGGCCAATAGGAGGTTGATTCTGTGGCCCAGGCCAAGGAGGGCTGTGAGAATGAATGATAGTAGGGGTGGCAAAATAGGGTAGACTTGAGAAGCCACATGGTGCCAGGGTCTGGGATGTTCTCTTCCCAGGCCTACCCCAGAAAATCTGAGTCTAAACCCGGGCAGCCCTGTCCATCTTGACTAGAGGAACAGATAAGTCTTTTTACCTCTTGTGCCTCAGAGAGGAACTCAGTTATTATACTAGTACAAGAAAGGGCTTGCTATCCCAGCACCTGCTACCAGTCTGTCGGGCACTTTTAGTCATGGTAGGCTCACATTGAATGTTTCCCAAATCAACAACAAATATAGTAACAATTCAAAAACAGATATGTTAAATCATGGACTAGTCCCTGGTATATAATAACTGTCATGCACTGAGGCATTTCCTCTGAACAACAATACTATGATTTAAATAGTCTTAACCCCATTTAACAAGGGGAAAAAATTCTGAGGCACACAAAGGCAAAGTAACTTGCCCTGACTATACAACCTAGAAGGGACAGTCAGTATTCATGCTGGGGCAATTGAATTGGCTCACAGTGAAAAACCACCTTGCTGTACTTTCTGGTTGCTTTGTTATTGCTTGATTATTAAACATTGGTTGTAAGTGTCACACTAGATTCTGTGGGAAATTGTTTTTTTTTTTTTTTTTTTAACTTAGGAGGCAGTGTTTGTCACCTGAGAGACCTCACTAAGGTGAGATCCCTCAAGCAAAGAATTTAGGTGGGATTGCTGATGGCCGTGTAGTTAATCTAACAGCTCTGGTCATGACATTGGCCTTGAGTTGGTGCTGACAGACAACTCTAGAGTATGACTAGCAATTGGAAAGTACCTAGTAAATATTTATTGATCAAATGGAAAACTGAGATGGAGAAATGTCCAGAGCATTAATGAACTAGTCTTTGAATCAGAAAGTGGATCTAGAACTTTAGAGATCCACTTCTCTTGCACCAAAACATGGCAACTCTGGCTTATTTCCTGAAGAAGGAGGTCTGGGGCAGCTCATCTCCCCTGATCAGAAATGTTGAAGACCAACACTCAGACTTCTCGTAATAATATACTCCTTCTCTGTAACAGAGAAGGAAACTTACCATGTATGCCATACCCGTGTAGTGAGTCAGGGGGGCTCTTTCAACCTCTTCCCTGATGAGCAGGACTATGGAGCTCTGGGGCAAGCCCACACCAGAGTCCTGAAGGCTTATGAGAGCACTCTGAAATGTACAGGAAATCAGAAGCTGGTCTTTGAATCAGCAACCAGCCTATGGGTCTCCAACTTCACACCTCTACGAGGTTCTCTCTGCACACACAACTTTATAAGCTTGAGCATGTTGGCAGAGAGAAGCAACACAGCATCTTTCCCAGTTTTCTTTTTCTAATTGTTAATAATGCAAAGAGTCAACAATAGAATTGTTTTCTTCTGTTTTCTCCTTTAGCTTCCACACAGGGTCTTGTACAGTGTTGTGCATATAATCATGGCTCGGGAAAGACATTTTGGTGGTTGATGTGCTCTTTAAACCTGAAAACTCCCCTTCCCCCTCTTTTTTTAGGTTCATAAACATAAATGATACCTACCCAATTTTTGCTTCCAGTGCCTCTGGCTCCAAGGAAAGCTTGGGTGGACACCTCAAAAGTAACTGTAATAGCAACTAACCTTTAGTGATCACCAAGTGCTTTACATGCATCATCGTAAATGATCTTGTCATTCCTGTTGGAAATAGCTATGACAATTTCCTGTTTTGCCTATGAGGAAACAAAGCTGGGAGAAAATATTTATTAATCTTGTGCTGTTTACAAACTTTGACTGGAGACTTTCACTGTGCTTTCCTCCTGTTATCCAGGGGTACCATCGGCCACGGCACTACATTGCAACCCAAGGTAAGTGCCCTGCCAACCTGCTTCCACAGAGATCTCAAAGGCTCCAGGGAAGAGGGCTTTCTGGGAATTATGCAAAACTTATTGTTACCTCCACTTCTATCTGATACCCAGCATGCCTTTTCCATTAGTGGACCATGGCCCATCTCTAGAGGAGAGGAATTAACTTCCACTGACAAAGAAACCAGAGAAAGGCAGGGTTAGGAAGCCTCCAGAATACCTTGAGAAGGAAATTGAAAAATTCAGCTATAGGAACCATCACTAGGAAATGGTCCGGAGAGAGAGGACCAAGCAGGGCAGACCAAAAGTATCATTCTTCAGCAGGAGCTACCAGACAGAGCTGGAGCCAAGTGTGCCTTATCTCCTGGATGGGTACGTGTCCCTGAGACAGAGGCAGCCAGCTGCTCTAGCAAGCAACACAGCAGTATGTTATCAGATGGCTTAAAAATGACTGTACCATTCAAATCCTTCTGGGAAGTAATCCTGCAGATAATTATATATGTGGGCACCAATTTATATAAAAACATTCATCAGTGTTATCTATCATAGGAAATAGGTGAGAAATCTTGAATGCCCAATAATGGGCAGATAGTTAAAATAAAGTGTGATACCATATATTATAGAAAACTCTGCAGCTATGAAAAAACATTGTACTTGTTAAGAATGTTTAAGGGAATCAAAAATGCTTATAACAAATATGATGCTTATTATAGTAAGTACATATGCACCTAAGCACAGAAAATGGTATTCAAACTTTTATATCAAATACATATATTCTTTTTGCACTTTTAAAAATGATGAAGACCCCAAATATCGAAAAAGTAATTTCCAAAACAATTGCTTTGTACCGTCAGCTCCTACTCCCACTCCTTCTTTTATTTGTTTGTTTCCTTTAGTTTTGCTTTGCTTTCATTTTCTACCCCTTCTTTCTTGTTCAGGCTCTAGTCAAGCTAAAACTCAGGAACTCTTTTTTTTTTTTTTTTTTTTTTTTTTTTTTTCTGTCAACAGCTCTAGCTTCTGCCACCCCAGTTTCTTTCCTGGAGCCCAGTTTTTGAAAACTCCCTTGGGCCCAGCCCCACATACAGTGCAGATAAGGTAATGGGTTAGCGGAAAGTGGCGCCAGAGGTGCTGAGCAGGATGAAAGCAGCAGGAGGAAAGGGTGCTGCGCCCATGAGAGTTGGATGTTGCTTTTCTTACCCATTTCCGGCCTGACCCTATCAGGTTCACATGCCTCTGGCTCCAGTCTCTGCTACTTGGTGTTCTAGTGGGAACCACCTGGCCTTGCTCTTGCTTGCCTATGAGAGGCCTTCACTAAACAGAAAGAGGGATAGGCCTCCCAGTTCCTACCTTGCCCTCACAGTCTCTAATACCTTCTCTGCTGGCAGGTCCAATGCAGGAGACGGTAAAGGACTTTTGGAGAATGATCTGGCAGGAGAACTCAGCCAGCATCGTCATGGTCACAAACCTCGTGGAAGTGGGCAGGGTAAGCATCTCCTGCCATCCCTTGGTAGACAAGGCCAGAGGTGTGCTCCCAGCATCTCTGTACCTTGCACTGTGTTCAGTGCCTCCTGGTCCACACTGGGACCTCCAGCATCCTCGGGGAAAGATAACATCAGTCCTGTTTCACATTTGAGCAATTTCCTTTCCCTTCAAGTCCTCCATCCCTCTCCCTCCTTCACTCTCTGTTGATAACGTCATCTCATATATTTTGAGGAAATTAAAGCCATCAGATGTGAATGCCTTCATTGTCACAGCCAAAAGCTACAATCCTACTGTACCTACAATCATCTTCTTGTTCTTCTCCTCTTTTGTTGGGCTCAACCATAAGAAATGGCTGTTTTTGTTCACCCAAAATAGGTGGATATCAGCTATTTCCTATGGCTCTGCCCAATATGATAGAAGCCAATACTGCCCTTTTATAGATAAGCCCAATGCCTGGAACTTAATTCTGCTCAATAATTTTCTCATTTCTCCCATCTCGCTTGAAAGATAAGACTCTTTCTCATTGCTAGGATTTTCCCCTTCAGAATACAGACCTGCTCAGTACCTTCCACTTTTACAAAACAGATAAAAATGATTCTCCTGTTTCCACTTTCCTGCTGAACTTTAATGACTCAGATAAAGGCTTTGTTTCTTCACTCTGTCCTCTTCTACCCATTCGGATGTAGCTACTCTCTCCATCCCACCAGCAGCAATATTTGTGAACATCACTCACATCCTTCATGTTGACAAATCAAGTGGTCACTTCTCTCTTATCATTCTCCACTTCTCAGTAGCATCTGACCTTTTGCTACCTGCTCTTTCTCCCCTGGCCTCTAAACCCTGATACTCTTCAGAGCTCAGACCTCAGTCTCCCTCTCTGCTCTACTTAAGTCTCTCTCCTAGGTCATCCTTAACTAGTCTTGGAAAAACGCTTCTATCTCCAGTATGCTTGTGGTATGTTGGTGGATGGGCTGCTGAGTTAAAGGCAGGTGTACAAACACCAAGATTCAAAGGGCCTTTGTATATCATATAAACTAACTGAAGAGTGGGCAGGTAAGTTTGTCTTGGAAAGAACCAGGTGATCTATGAAGATGAAATGTCCTGACCATAGTCATGGGACAAAGGGAATCTAGGTTGTCAAGATCCAATCAAAGGACATGGATGTTTCATGTCCTAATGGGGAATTAGGGGCAAGTGAGATTTTATCCATAAGTTTACCATTATCTAGCACATCCTCCAGCTTTATAGATGAGGACCAGACTCAAACAGTGGAGTAATGACCCTGAAGTCACCCAGACAAGTCCTGGGTGTGAAGTCTGACTCTTGGCTTTCAATCTGGTGCTCATGGTCCTTATGCTTAGGCTGTTCCCAGGGACTTGGGCCCAGCTTAAAGCTACTGAGACAAAAAGGCCATCTAAGAGCTTGAGAATTCCGAGGCAAAATCCAGCCTGGCCTGCCTACAACATATCTCACACTGGAAACAGATAGCTTTGATAGAAATGCTATGAATCTTGACTGGATTTGGGGAGGAGAACAGTCCCTTAGTAGAACTCCTTCTGTAGCCCATGTATTTGCCAGACACTTAGTGTGCATTAAATTTATCTCACAATACTTGTACAGAGCAACATTCCTGGTTGTCATTCACATGGCCCAAATGTGCACTCTGGCTCCATCTCTCGTTAATAGTGGGCTTTGGGCAATGATCTTGGCTTTCCTGTATTTTAGATCCTTATTTGTAAAAGGGGAGTAATAGTAATATCCAAGGTTATGTTATAAGGAATTAAAATAATACATGTTCTTATTCATAGAACACTTAGTAAGACATATTAGACAAAGTATTATCTATTATTATTAAGAGGAATCTCAGGCTTAGAGAGATTTCAGCACTTTTTAGTAGCTACTTAGTTACTGAGTTTTACAACCAGCCATGGATCCATTTCCTTCCAAAACCTGTTGCACTATATCAGTGTTTCCCTAAGTGGGTTCCATGGGATGCTGGTCGGCAGGACGCATAGTGAGAAGAGGGTTCCATGGTTAAATATGTTTGGGAAATGCTGTGTCCTCTGCCCCTTTTGAAGAATCCTGCAGTACAGTAGCATTAGCACATCTGAGGAGCTAAGTAGTCTTGTAGTGAAACAGACTGTTTGACTTTGTTTAATCAGCATTTCCCAAACTCATTTGACCACAAAACCTTTTTTTTGTTTTTTTTTTGTTTCTTGTTTTTTACCTAACACCTATTAGCACCCAGCGGAACACACTGTGGGAAATGCCACGCTAGGCCGTGCAGCGTCCCCCGGAATGGTAATAATGCTTTTGTTCTTTTAAGGGGAAAACATGATCTGTCTTTCTTCTGCGGAGTGTGACCTGTAGAGTCGCATGTGGGAATGCTTATTCATAGCATCTGTATCCACTTCCAGGGCAGGGAGCAGGTTCAAAGTCTTCCCTCTGAGCCCAGCACTTCCATTCTTTTCCCAACCGAGAGCCTTTCTCCTTCTAGCTCCCAACTACCACCTCTTAATAATGACCCTCTCCTGACCATTTCTGCTTCCACCTCCTAGCTATTTCCCACATTTTATTCTCATCTTTGATCAGCTCATTGCACTCAGCTGCTCCAGCCTGATACTGCAGATAGAGGACTTAGCCAAAAGTAGAAAACTGGCCACATGATCTCGGACAAGTCACCAAACTTCCAAACTTGTGTATTATTTTCATCTGAAAAGTGGAAATAATAGCCACCTATCTCACCTAGTTTTCCTTGATCACTTTGTGTGACAATGCATTGAAAAAGGACAAGAAGCTTTTCAACAGAAGATACTACTGTTATTTCTAATGACCCCAATGCCTGTGGGAGTGAGATTGGCCCTGTGCAATCTGCCGATCCTTGGCCACCTGAGCTCCCCATAAACTGAAATGTCACTGAAGTTGTCCCTTGGGTTTATTTGAGTAAGAAAATTAGATGAGGTGGCTGCTCACATCCAGCCACCCTCTCGTACATCTTTGTCTCTATCCTTCCTTATCTCTCATTTGGCCACAGGTGAAGTGTGTGCGATACTGGCCAGATGACACAGAAGTCTATGGAGACATTAAAGTCACCTTGATTGAAACAGAGCCCCTAGCAGAATATGTCATTCGTACCTTCACAGTCCAGAAGGTAAGCTTCCCTTGGCTGCGGGCAGCCTCTCCAGCAGACTGACCTGTCTGTTCATTCAGATCATATAGAGATAAAAGATCTGATCTGTGCCCAGCCCCATGCTTAGCACCAGGGACAGATTAGCAATCAGGTAAGATGTGGGTAACTGCTATAATAGATCACACGTCCAGTGAGAGGGACAAATGAAACCCAACAGACAACTCAATGGGCTAAAGACATATCATGATAAAAGCCACAGGATAACATACAAAGGGTGAAGGCAGAAACCACAGGAGGATGGAGTAGTCAGAAAGGGCTTAAGAACAGGAACTTGGCAGAGAATGAAGGGTAAGAAGGCTCCAGCCAAGAAAAGGGTGGAAGGATGACGATACCTGGCAGATGCAGGGAATATGCAGGATGCGGAAGGGAAAAAATCGTCATATATGCTAGGCCTTTGGTTCTCAAGCAGGGGTGATTTGGTCCTCTAGGGGATACTTGTCAATGTCTAGAGACAGTTTGGGTCATCACAACTTGGGAGGAGGAAGGTTGTTACTGCTATCTAGCAGCTAGAGGCAGGGGTATAGATAAATAACCTACAATACAGAGCACAGCATAGATCCCATGGCAAAGAATCATCCAGCCCAAAGTCTCAATGGTGTCAAGTTGAAAGGAAGACTGAGATCTGCCAAGTGTGGTGGCACACGCCTATACCCCGAGCACTGAAGAAGCTGAGGCGCGAGGATCACCACAAGTTCAAGGCCAACCTAGGCTGCACAGTAAGTTCAAGGCCAGCCGGAACGACCTAACAAGACAAAGTCTCAAAAAACAAAACAAAAAAGAAAAGAATGAGATCCCAAATGAGTACTACCTTTATAGTTAAACTATTTTATAATTGTTGCTATTATATCATACAGATGTTCCTTGATTTATGAAGAGGTTATGCCTGTTAGACTCATTTTCAGTTGAAAATCCACTTAACATGCCTACCCTACCCAACGTTATAGATTAGCACATATTCTTCTGAGTATTACTGTAGAGTATTCATTGTTTATTCTCTGCATGGTGTAACTGAATGAGACCTCTGGCTCGTTGTGTCTGCTGGACAGGCTGCTGGCCTGTTGTATCACATTATGTACTCTATTACTAGCCTGGGAAGATATCAAAATTCAAAATTCAAGCAAGATTCCTGTTGGATCCGTATCCCTTTTGCACCATTGTAAAGTCAAGAGATCATAAGTCAAGCCATTATAAGTTTATGTTTCAATGACTCCTGAGAATTTACTAAATTCAGTGTTCTTCTAAGAGCTTTGCATAGAATAACTCATTTAAACCTCCCAGCAACACTCTGAGGTAGTACTATTTTATCTACATTTTATAAATAAAGAAGTTGAGATACAGATTCTAAGTCAGGTGTCCAAATTTTCCCAGATATAAGGCAGTATAATCAGGATTCACAGCTTGGCCCCTGAAGTCCATTTCCCATTGTGCTACATGATAATTATAAACCACTTTAATGGACTCCACGGCCATAGGCCTGAGGATACAAAAGGAACTAGGAACTTACTTAAATGCTTTAGAAGATTTGAACAAGGCTTTGTGAGGACCACAGCAGCTACCATGCAGACTGGACCACAAAGTGAGCCCAGTGACATTCTTGCAAGTACTGCATGGCTCAGGTTGTACTGTTTGCTCCCAGAAGCTCTTCCTTCCCCCCATACTTGATGCTCTTAAAGTCTACTGACTCAGGTGGAAAAGTCAGGAAGCACGTACTCCACCCCAAGTAAGAGGAGGGAAAATAATAGGTATTGGATGTTGTCTTGGGCCAGGTGCCTTAGAAGCAGAGCCTGAGGCAAGGATTCACACACACCTGCTGTAATCAAAGAAGTTCTTCCAGGAAAAACTCATAAGCAAGGGAGGCAAACAAAAGAGAGAAGTGGGCAGGTAGAACAAAGATAGAGTCTCCATAAAGTCTAGCCTGGGCCTGATCCACCCAGAGTATAAACCATACCACAGAGGCCAGGAGAACAGATTTGTGTGCCCCCACACCATTCAGTCCACTGACTTTAGCTGAGGGGTAACCTCTGGGGTGGGCCAGCTCTTGTCAGCTGAATGGACATCTTCAGAAAGGAGAGCATCTGTGAGGAAGTAGCAGCCACCACTGCCTGCCTCTGATGGACAAGCTCATGAGGAGGACCTGGGTGGGGAACCAGTCTCATCTGGTTACCTTTGTGATTAGTGCTGGGAACAGAGTAGAGGCTGAGGACCGTGATCCATCTTGAGACCTAGGCCCCGAGTATGGATCCTTGGGAGAATTGCAGGCAGCAAGCCATGGTGAGTTGTTAGGATTGTGTCTTGGGCTGTCTTTTTTGTTTCTCTTTTAAATGGTCTCAAGGGGCAAGATGTTTTTATACCTCTTTTAAAAAATCACAAAGGAAGATTATTTTCCATAAGGAGGTATCCTTAATGACCCCAGGGGGCTCTGGGATTAATTCAACTTTGTGGCCTCTTCATGCCAACAGACAGGCACTTAGGCCTTCAATTCAAAATCCATCCCTCAGTTGGGGACCAGGACTCATAAACTGGAAGTGTTTTCATTCCAGGAGGGAGCATTAGGAAGAAGAGCCTTTGCTCGGTAGTCACAGCACAAGTCTGGAGGGCTCAAACCAGGGCTTCTGGGAGCAGTTGATTCAGAGGATAAGAGTAGAAAAGGTAGGAGGATGTGTTCTTGAGCTTCACCTCACCCACCACTCTTATCACAGACTTTGTTTTCTCTCTCCTGATCAGAAGCTGCCTCTCATCTTGCCCAGTCTTAGTCTGGGTTCCCTGGAAGCAGAGCAGGAGGTGGTAGTGATCTAGATGCCTAGACCCTAGGTGAAGGTAGAGCTCACAGAAGAGGGTGAAGGAGATAGGACAGGGTGAAGAGGAGAAAGGAGCCCAGCCAGGATGTAGTCTCTACAGGTACTGCTGCCACCTGACTGGAGCTCTGGAACCTAAACTTCTTGGACGCTTGGTCCAATCTGGAAACAAAGTAGTCTTTTGTACCTTGATGAGGATAGCTAGTCATTTTGGCTTCTCCAGAGCAATCCTATATTTAGCACTGAAAATCCATATCCTGGAAAAGTTTTGGGCAAATGACAAAGTCAGGCAATCACCCAGCTCTCCTACCAGTCACTGAGGGCTGAGTGTACTCTTCCCCCCATGGGAGCCCTTTTCTCTAAAGAAAGGGACTGTGAGCTGTCTTCAGCCAAGACACATGGGAGATGAAGATGGTCCAACAGCCCAAAAATGGAGACCTGAGTGGGTACTAACAGAACTCTCATCCAGCACAACCCTGGCACACCTATCCAAGACCATCCTCCATGGAGCGGCCATCAGATTCCTCCTTAACTGCAAGTCTGATCATGAGTTCACCTTCCATGCAGCTACCTGAGGATTGTTGGTGCCTTTGAGATGAAATCAAAGCTATGACTTCGATTCAGTCGAGACCTCTGGAACCCAGCACCCCATTCTCCCACATGCCCAGGACTATCTTCCATGGCCTTCTAGCATTGCCCTGGGCTCTTGTTGGTTCTCTGCACATGGCACACTAAGTCCTGTTCTCTTGCCCTCACCTGCACTGCCCTGCTGCCTTGGTTCTTCCAGGCCTTCAACTGGGTAGTCCCCGCACATGAGGATGAGGAGCACAGACTGTGGGGCCAGACAGGCAGGGAGAAACAGTCTGTTTATAACTTAATAGTTGTGTTGTGTCTTAGGCGTGTTTCTAAACCTTGCTTAGCCTCAATTTCCTCATCCAAAGCACAGAGATAATAATATAAAGACTGACAAGAGGGTTAAATGAAATAATACACTGAAGTATTCAGAAGAGCCACTGGCACATGGTAGATGTTTAATACATGTTAATTATTTTCATTACTGATTTATTTCAAGATTTAAGTCAAGCATCACCTCCTGCAGGAAGCTGTCTTCCATGACCATGTTAGCTGAACTCTCCTTTACATCATAATAAAATTATCCACAGAGGAATCTTCCTCACTAGCAAGCCATGAACTATTACAAGGAAAGAGCTATGGCTTTTATTTCCTCCTTCCTACTGCCTAGTCCAAGTCTAAGCATAAATAACCTTTAGTGAATAGTTTTTAACTGGAGGAATGAAAAATCAGACTGTTTCTACTGTAAAAACTTCCTGTAAGATCTTTGTTTAAAGAGTGTCCTGAGAAAACAGTGTATCACTCCCTTTGGACGCAGACTGTGCATTAACACATGAAAGGCTCTGAGTAGGCCTGCGGTAAAGCGCCTGATTTCGCTTTGACTCTTGACCCGTTGTCCAAATGTTCCTGATCACAGAGTCACTGAGTGGTAGCACCTATTAACCCTACCGAGGTCTCATCCCCCTGGACAGCAGGCAGGCAGGCTCCTCAGTACAGCAGCCGCAGCTCCCCAAGGGCCGGGCTGGGTACATGAGGGCAGCAGCTAAACAAACAGCGGCCCGTTCTCTCCTCAGAAAGGCTACCATGAGATCCGGGAACTCCGCCTCTTCCACTTCACCAGCTGGCCCGACCATGGCGTCCCCTGCTATGCCACTGGCCTTCTGGGCTTCGTCCGCCAGGTCAAGTTCCTCAATCCCCCAGAAGCTGGGCCCATAGTGGTCCACTGCAGGTGAGTCAAAGCCACGCACCAACCAAGTGTGCCTGTACAGTTTTGCTCTCTTGGTAGGGGTGACGTTCTCTTGTCCAGTGGCCTTGATACCCCCTTGTATTCCAGTGCTCAGTCATTTCTGATGAGAACCAGATCCCCACATCTGACAACAAGTTGCTGTAGTAGAAGCAGTATCAATGGTGTTAATATTGCAGCCAGGAAATGCAGCCAGGGCGCTAGCAGCATCTGCTGTGTCTGCCATATGCGCCTGCCCACATATTTCAGTTACTTCTCATCCAGCCTTGAGAAGTGGTTATTATTATCATTCCCATTTTACAGACAAGGAAACCAAGATGTGACACAGGTGTGCAATGGTAGAGCAAGGATATTTAACATGGTCTTCTCCAGAGTTTGCCTGTACCTACCTCCTTCATGTGACCGTGGGCTGCCTTTGCTTCATTTCTGTCAGTCACTGGCCTGTAGCATCCTTAATAGAGTAAATGGACAGTGTAAGGTTTTATGGAGAAGAGATGTTTTCGGCTTTGACTGGGAGAGTCACGTTGAGAGTGAGTGACATGTCTTTCCGTCCTCTAGAAGGAGACGAAGCATCCCCTCGAGGGCATGAGGAATTGGAGGGAGGTGAATGTTCAGACCTAAAGGCCAAGTAGCCTGCATCTCCCGCCTTCCCAGGCCCTCTCAAATGTGACCTGGGGCCCAGGCCATCTTTTCAGACCCTGCATGCTTAGGTTATCTCATCCTTGCCCTGGAAGTGTCCACATCAGTAAAGGGACCGGGAAGATTCAGTAAACTGTGGATGTCTCAGAGCCATTCTCACACAGCATCCACGTGTCTTCTCTAAAATAGTAAATATACAACCCCATTTCACGGATAAAGCATTTAGGGATTTGGTGGAACCCTCCTGGACTATGTAAGCATTGGGCATGAATTCTTTCCTTTACAACTCATAGCAAACCAAAGGGCGATAGCCCATGAGTGCCCAAGCCCTACAGCTGAAACAGCAGCCAGTGCATGGGGTGAGGGAGAAAGTGAGACAACAGCAAATATTTATCAGGCTTTCCACTGTGTGCAACACTGTCTCTCCATAGCAAGCCATCTTCATGCAGCAGAATAGAGCAGTGCCACTCCTGGGCTAATAAGATTAAATGGGTCGGCTAACATGTATTAAATACCTATCAGAAATCCTGACATATAGTAAACACTTAAAACTATCACTCTTCGCCAGGGATTTAGCTCAGCGGTTCGGTGGCCTGCCTTGCAAGCACAAGGACTCGAGTTCGATCCCCGGTACCAAAAAAAAAAAAAAAAAAA